AGGTGCGCCAAACCCCTGCTCGCTGCTGTTCTCCGACTAGCGCAATCAGAGCCGACTGGAACCAACCGACCGAGGACGCCCGCTCGGTAAGGACCAGGGAACGAACGGAGAAAGCATGGCAGGGCGCACAAGTCAAAACCGCAATACCAGGGTCCGTACCGTAGGCACCTACGGAAACAATACTCTGCAACCTCCCTGGCACGACAGAGCCTAAAACAGTGTTGTGGGCGCCGATGTTTTCCCCTATAGTATTGTGGGCGCCATTAACTCCCATACGGTAAGGCCCCCCATGCCTCTGAGCATCAACAGTGTTGTGGGCGTCGGCTTTTACCGTACCAGGAGAACATGGTAAAACTCCTCACATGCCTCTGGGCATCAACAGTATAGCAGGCACCAACATCTGCCATACCTGAATAAGACGGCGTAACCTCCCATGTGCATCTGACATCCAACAGTGTTGTGGGCGCCTACCATCATCATGTACCCGCCGACGTGGGCAACAAGGATTAGAAGCATACATACTCTCTCCCTCTCACTTGTAAGGCCATCCCTTTCATCTATAAAAGGGGATGCGCTCTCTCCCAACAAAGAGACCCAAGTCATTCCAGATTCATTAGATCGATCAAGTTCACTGGTACAGAACCGCCAGGTTCGCACCACGAGCACACGCAGCGGGGCTCCCGTCACTCTCGGCCCTTCCGGCAGGACTCCGATCGGACCTCTTGTACCCCCATCATTCTCCTTCTCATTTGTAACCCCACTGCAAACTTCGAGCACCTGGGCTCAGGAATAAAGCCACCGACTGACTCAAACTAGACGTAGGGCACGTTGCCTGAACCAGTATAAATCATGTGTCATTGAGTGCTAGGCCACCTCCGATCACAACATCTGGCAAAACTACAAATATTTACTTGTTGGTCACTTTCTGCACCGACACCATCTCCGGCGGGTTTAGAAGAACTTTTTGGGAGGCAAGCAGGCCAGCGGCAGGATGGGAGAGACGACAGCGAGGTGGAGGTGGGGTGATGCTGCCAGAGCGGGCGGTGGAGGAGGCGGCCAGGCCAGGTTGGGGAGGGGGTCGCTGCGGGCGTGGTAAGGTCTCGCTGGAGCTTCGCGGCCGTGGAGCTCTGGTGAGACCCTACCGCACCGCGACGGGGTGGCGGTGCGTCAGGAGGAGAAAGAAGATACAAGAAAAAATCGGGTGTCGGGAGAGCGTAAAATGCTCGAGTGTTGCATAGCGAGATCCATTATTAATCGTTACTTACTCAATTTCTTGACTGCTCGTGAAAAACTGTGTGGTATGTAGAGTACTTCCAGGTGGTTTCACACCTGATTTTCAGTAAAGTCCATGGCTTGAACTCAAACTTGTCCAGCTATATCATGTTATAGTGTGTCACCGTCTGTTTGAGTCTTAATCATTGTTCAAACGAGCCTGAACCCATGCCCCCGCGTTGACATGGCTTGGACACGTGGCATGCGGGGGCACTGCCACTCAATTGTTTGCACTGCACACTACTAGAATCTATTTTTAGAGGCACCTTTTCTCGATAGGGACGGTTCTATTAAATCTGTCTCTAAAAATAGTTTTAATCTACCACTCCTGTAGAAATTGATTTTAAAGGTGGATGAAATTTCCAGCCATCTTTAGAAATGCTAGCTATTTTTAGATGCTGCTGGCAAGTCTAATCACCACTAAAAATGTCATTTGTAGGGTGCTTTACAGACGCTACTAGAAATGAACGCATGCAATTCACAAAAAAAATAGAAATGAACGCATGCAGTTGGGAATTTCAGCCCTCTCTAGAAACGGATTTCTAGAGGCAATTAACAATTTGGTCTGTCTCTAAAATTAGGTGCAACACAATCTATACCTCTATATATATATATATATATATCTAATAATAAAAAGACAAAATTTTAGCCTATTTTTTTTATCCGTCTCCCTCTAACTACCGGACAATGGAGAATTTCTTGCATCCGAACTTATATATATACTAGGTAGCGTGTCTGTGCGTTGCTACGGGATAACTAACAATTTATACTAAAAATACACGGATCGCACGATAAGATAACAATACTGTAAAAATTAAATACCAACGTTAAAGTGACATTTAATCCAAAAAGCAAAGTTTATGAATTTAACACAGTCACGGAGTGCGCGGCGTCGCAGGCTCACAAACTCTACTTTATAGATCTTTCCGTGATGCGGCTAAGATAATGTTTTATATTGGCAGGAAGAAATCTTCAATATCCATTTGTTTGATACGCCAATAAACTCAGTTCGTGAACTAATAGTAATAACTAAATGTGGCATATATCGAATTCTTTTAGCCACTGCTTGTGTGCAGAAGCGAAAAACATCCCAACCGCGCTTGCCCTAATATGAGTATTTGAAGTAATAAACCTTTAAAGAACATCAACGTACCTCTCTTCCAGAGATTGGGTCGAATCCAACCTAGAGCCTCGGAACCCTGCATCTTTTTCTGGATGGGCTTCACTTCGGATGCGCCGGTATCCATATCAACGATCTCCAATCAATGGACCAAGTCGTATGGATCCCCATACAATGGCTCAGACATGTAGATTTTGTTCTCCTTGTACTTGTATACACTTATTCCACTGAAGCTTTCATTGAAATGTTTAGACACGAACAATGTCTGATCACCATGCCCTCACCCTGGACCACTCCGGCGTACGGTCGTGGAGGTTGCACTTATAGATCGCGCTGCTGTAGGTGAAGTTATGTGTCTCATGGAACGTGCTCACCATGGCACCCACAATGTGCAGCTCACCGTTTGATTCCAGATAGCTATGGTGGCAGAGCCCCACAGGTGGCGACAGCGATGGCAGCAGCGTCGCGGTTGGAGTATAGCCGGCGGCGTTGCTGCTGTAGACGGAGATTTCTCTAGTGCAGTCGATCGCCAAGAACTTGTCTTGGCAGTGGACGATGGACCCCACGGAGAACTCCAGTTTGGTGTCGAGCAGCGTCCATGCGTTGTCGACTCTAACCCGGCAGAACGCGACCTTCGTGGAGCACCCAAGCATGGCCATGGCCACGTACTCACGGCCGGCGGCGTCAGGCGGCGCCGAGAGCATGATCTCATAGAAGAACACATCCCTTATGTCTTCTAGCTTGATGTCTCTGCCTGCGACATCCGCGTCCCCATAGCCGTTGGTGGGATGGAGGACCCACCGGCCGTGGACCCTAGACACGCGTTCCGATGAGGACGCCGCCACGACGTGTTCGCCTGCTGGCGGAGCTCAACGCGGGGGGCACGGGCACCGACGAATGGATTCAGCAGCGTCACGGATGCCGCCTCGTCCATGAGCGCCAGCCACCCACACGAGGAGCCGCACGCCAACTTGCCGCGCATGTCGGGCAGCGTCTTGGACAAGACCTTCTCCGGGACGCAGTAGAAGCCGACGCGGTCCGAATCGGGGTCGAACAGGAGCAGTAGGAGCGGCCCGAAGGTCGTGAACGGGACGGCGGCGCGCCATGGGGAGCAAGCGGATCGGAAGGACGCCGCGTCGTGGCCTTACGCGAGCTGACGTTGCTCGATGGACTCGAGGAGATCCTCTGGCAGGCCGGATCTCCAGTCAGAGAGAGGTAGGGACCTTCTCTTGGGATTGGAGGCTGAGCCATGGAAGACAAATGACATCAACTATTGTTCACACAAGAAATGGTGTCTGGTGTCTACTGTCGCGATGGACCATGGATTGGGGAACGGGGATATGGGGAAAGGATTCAAAATGAACGGACCCAAGGGCAATTTTAGCAAGAAACAACAACATGTGAGCGTGAAACCAAATGAAATGAGGAAAAAGCTATCCCTTTTGCAAATATAAAGATGGGAAGTAATTAAATGTAGGCAAATTTGGCAAGGTTCTCAGAAATACAGAAAGATTTATTTTGTCTTAATTCTCTTTCCTTCTGTGTTAATTCTCTTTCCTTTTGCTCGTTACCATGTATGCTGGTGCATGCAAACATGCAATGTGTATATGGATAGCACAATAATTTTCTACTTCCTATTTTGTCGTGATTCCTCTATCACATGACAGACAATATTCAATCAAGGAGAATAGCACGATCAATCAGCATGCGGGAGATGTCGTGGGATCGCAGGCGTGGGCAGACGGACGAACCAAAATAAATGTCGCATAAAAAAATGTCCACACTTTATTCTTTTTAGTTGTAGGAGATAAAAAGACCTGATCATGTTTGATATTGAATCCTAATACTAAACTAAATAGAAAAGGAAAATATACAACTTTTGTCCTCACGTTCCTAATGTTTTTGTCCAGCAAGTTTTTTTATCTGGCCCTTTCAGCTAGGAATCCTAATCCTATTGAATAATCTAAATAGGAATCCTAAAATGAATAGGAAAAAGATAAGAGTATAACTCTGTATCCGTACATTTCTAATACGTATGTCCTTACAAGTCCTGATTTTTTCTATCTATTTATTATTCTCTCCGGTGCAAATTTCTTTTCTTGTGTGTGAGTGTCCGACGTTCTTCTGTCCCTAGCGTTTCATATTTTTGTTTTGCGTTTTCCTTTTCTTTAGCATCTAGTGTTCTTTTTTTCAAAGCACCAGGAACACCGACGGCACCGCGCACAACGCCGCCGGCGTGTTCACGGGCAACGGAGCGGCACGCAGTATGGCCGCTTTAGGTCGGGTTGCCTGGCATGCAGCCAGAGTAATGCCGCGATCTCTAGCAGCGTCTCGAGGCTGTAGAGGAAGTTGGCGGTGGTGACAACGTCGTCTAAGTTTGAGGAAGGAAATGGCGAGCGTGACGGGACGGCCGTGGAGGCGGCGATGGCGACCCACGGGGTGCAGGACAGGGTAGCACGGCTCACGAAGATGGCCGGGAGAAGGCCCAGCAGCTAGAACACGCCGCTGCTCCGCTCAGCCTCGAACATGCCGACGGACGACAGAACCGCGCCGGCCCGCCCGCCAGGGGTCAATACATCCAGCAAGGGATGAGAGCCGCAGTCGACGACTATGACGAGGCGGAGGACGCGCTGGCCCTGTTCGTCTTCCACGAGTCGCGTGCCGGCATCCGCGGCCTTGTCGAGTCCGGCCTCACCACGGTGCCGCCGCCATTTCTGACGCCTACCTCGTCGATCTCCTCGGCTGCCACGGCGGCCTTGGTCGCCCCGTTCGTCGACCTCACCCTCCCGCGCTCCCATAGTCGTCCCATGTAGCCGCGCTCGTTGGCGCCACGGCACGCTCCTACGGCTTCTTTCAGGTCACCAACCACGGCGTCCCGGTCGGCACCTCGGTGCTCTCCGTGGTCAGGTCCTTCAACGAGCAGCCATTGGCGGCACGCTCGGCATACTACTCGGTCTCGACCATCGGGCCTACCACCTACGCCACCGTACTCATCCCGCCGCGGAACGCCTGACAAGCTGCCAACGTGCCTCTCCTTCCATGGCGCGACATGCTTGTTCTCCACATCGGACACGATGAATCCCACCTCGACCACCTCCCCACGGCATGCCTGGACGCGTTGCTAGAGTGCCACCGGTCGCTGACGGCGTGATCAGCGGCCTGCTGTCTGGAAGGGGTCAGCGTGGGAGCCGAGCAGCTGGACAAGGCAATGCAGGTTGAAAGCGACCCTGATGCAGTGCCACTACACCGTGCCCTCAGCCGGAGCGGATCGTCGGCAGCTGTGTCCAGTCGGGTATTTGTTCAAGGTGGTTGTGCAGGACGGTGTCAGCGGGCTGCAGGTGTGGCTCGATCGACGGCCATGGAGATGCCTGGGTGGATGTCATGCCCGTCACCGGTGCACTTCCTATCAACATCATCGGCGACATGCTTAAGGTACTACAGTACTATAATCATGGAATAATAAGTTACCTAATAAGTATTATCATCATCATCATCATCATCATCATCATCATCATCATCATCATCATCATCATCATCATTATTATCATCATTATTATTATCATCATATTATTATCATCATCATTATTATTATCATCATCATCATTATTATCATCATCATCATTATTATTATTATTATTATTATTATTATTATTATTATTATTATTATTATTATTATTATTATTATTATTATTATCATCATCATCATCATCATCATCATCATCATCATCATCATCATCATCATCATCATCATCATCATCATCATCATCATCATCATCATCATCATCATCATCATCATCATCATCATCATCATCTCACTAGCTAATTCTTATGGTAGGTAGTTTACAGGTGGTTTCGAATGATGACTACAAAAGAGTGGAGCAGAGGGTGGCCGATCAAGTCCATACAAGAGACTCCTGTTCGCTTATGGTGAAATTTAACTTATGATGATGCTTATGCTGAAATGTTGCGAGAGGAAAACAATGTTCCATGGCTGAAAGTAGCTCAAGCGAACAGGGCCGGGTCTCCATTGCCCTCTTCTTCAATCCTGGCAAGTGTGGCGACTCTAACTTCTTCGGCCCTCTGGCGGAGCTGGTGACACAAGAAAGGCCTCCATGCTACCGGAGTTTAACCTGGCCAGAGTTCCTTAGATACAGAAAACGGTTGTGTCATGCAAGGCCATCACTTGATAAATTCAAGGTAAAATTGAATTAATAAGAAATTTTGGTATATATATAGATATTGCATCTTGATGATGCACTTTCTGATATTAATTTTTAAGTTTTGGCCGATAATATTTACTCTAGCATTTTAAAATATACTCCACTTGCAACGCACGGGCAATTTTGCTAGTAAAATTTATATTTTTCAAATCAAGTCAGATGAAGATAAATTTTATATTAAATTTGTATTACTGGAGGAAATCTATATCATTTAAGTTGAAGACTGTTCCATTAAATCATTTAAGGCCCAAAAAATAAGTTTTATTTTTCCAAATTTCAAATACAATATTTTAAATTTTTCAAAGGACCTCGAACAGAGAAATGACCTAAACCAAAGTTACAGTACTCGAGACCTGGAACTTTATAGTTGACTACTTTTTCATTTGAAATCATTTAGTGTCTAGGAATTTTGTTTTAAGTTTTTAGATTTTTGATATTTTTTGAAACTTTAAGTACCTCGGATGAAGAAACGACCTAAACCAAAGTTATAGTAGTACTCAAAGAGATATGAAACATTTTAGTTGATGACATTTTCATTTGAAGTCATTTGGCTTAGAAATTTTGGTTTAAAATTGATGATTTTGTAATTCATATTTTTCTTGATTTATTCAAATGGCCTGGGATGAAGACGGCTATACCAAAGCTGTAGTACTTGAAGAGATATAAAATATTCTAGTTTAAATAGTTTTATTTGAGTTCGTTTAGGATCTCAAATATGTATTACAATATTCGGTATAGTGTGTATAAGAGTCACTAGGTCAGCAGTGACTTTAATGCACAGTCCTAAGAAAGCATTGCCAGAGGTGCTGAGTTCGATCACTCGTGGCTGCACACGTGTATTTCGTATGAAAACCGCGTCACGAGGCCTTCTCTTGGGTTGAATTTTTTTTCTATTTTTCAGCCTAAGTTACAGATTTTGGAAAACAATTTCTAGAGGCAGCTGGTTTTCAGCCCGCCTCTAGAAATCAATCTCTAGAGGTAGAAATAGATTTTTTGAGACGGCTAAATAGAAGGGAAAAACGGTAATGAGATGCAGATTTTTTTTTATGCCTCAACTCTTCAAGTACGAGCTAAGCTATATCTAAACTTATGCATCAACTTACACCTGAACTTATGCACCACCTCACACCACCACATGCATACACTCACACACACGCCCTAGTGCAAAAGCTAGATCTACACCTATACAAAGATATTGCACATGACTGAGAGGTATCGGAAATCATCTAGGCTTCAAATGTGACGGGCACGTCCCTAACCATCCACCTAAGGGAACGGAAATTATTTTTGAAACAACTGTTCCGGGGTGAGGCACCCGAAGGCGTGTGGGCTGCCCGAACCCAGTCGGAACTAGCCAACCGAGCACCCGCTCGGTCCTCTAGAATCTGGACTCCTCTAACAATAATCAGGCATCAAACAGAAGTACATCTCCTCAGTGCGTCAAAGGCAACAAACAGAATAGGCTGCATAAACATAGAGCTGATTCGTCTGAACATTTACATACAGCCACGTCAATTGCGCAAACAAATCGCTTCTCGGAAGCCTCGTAGGCAGAAGCATGATAGATAAGATAAGAGCAGGAAAACCCAAAAGGTCGGTTCTTTGATGATCCCTTCCAAGAAAGTAGGCAAAAGAAAAGGAAGAAACCAGAAAGAAAGGTGATACAAGCTCAGAAGACATTTTCTTCTTCACAGCACATCAACATCACTGGAAGTGTCTAAGAGGTAAACACTCAACACTCAGTTACCGTCCTCTTCCGGCCTGATGTTGTTAGCTGCAAGGGAAATGTGAAGTCATCAGCAATCTGAAGGGAGACAAGGCAATGGAAGAGGACGGTATGTGAGTTAGAAAGAGGTACTGACAGATGAAGAGAGGTCAGATGTCTTCAGAACTCGCAGCCTCTTCACCGAAGAAACAAACATCCTGCAGGTATCGGCTATCATACTAGTAAGTCTGTTTTGCAGTAAACAAACCTATAAGCTGAAGGTGACAAAAATTCAACTTTAGGCAGCATTGTCTGTACAAAATAGGTATGCAAGATTTTGGAATCTAGGCCGATCAGATCGGCAATATAAACCTCGTTAGTATCGTGTTGTACTTGTCTGAAATTCTAAATGGTAGGCACTTCTATCAGATTTTAGCACATCTATATTGTTTATTTATCCATATACACAATTTGATGTATCGCTCAAATGCAGACAAGAAGGAACACTTACCCCCAGGGGACATCACCAACCAGCACCCTATCACCTTCATAATCCTCATAAACCAGAGTGTATTCCCCAGTTCCATCTAGTAAACCCGATATCGCCACCTCTTCCGGTGAACACTCCTCTGTGCCGGCATCCAGAGGGTCTTGTTGTGCTACACATAGAAATATAAGAATTGAGCAAATTGAATCAGACACTGACCAAACAACTTGACCATTCAATCAAACTACTAAAAGTTACTTAGCACGGAAACAACTTTATGGTTTCTTGGTTAAGTACAAGGGAAAAGTCTGAACATACTTACCACAAATAAAGTTATAATAAAATAAAGGTAACAGCTACATGTAAACAACAAAGGTTCATAGTACCTGCAAGAAGCCACCGGAATAGCTTGTCAACAGACAGAGACAGCTCGTCATAACTGCCAAGGGCATTCAGATCAATTTTTCTACCAATAGGGATGCCATCCATGTTAATCTTTACAAATGGAGCTCTTTTTGTGGTCTGTTCAGGTCTGGCTGCCTTCTTCCCATTCTGATGTTCAAGGGATGCTTTACTAGAGGTAGCCAGATTTCTTCTGAATGCACGAACCGGAGGCCACCCAATAACCGGGGTATTTGGAGATCTGAAATTGGACCATGAAACAGTGAGATATTAGAATGAAGCATAGTAGTTAACTATTGGACAAAGAACAACAATTGGCAAACACAGATTTTCCTGCTGGTTAATGCATATACAGACATGCATTATAATACGCTGATAGGTGAAAAATTGTAGACAGGTTCCTTCCTGGAAATGATTCATGTTGAGAACAGATACTAAGAGCTTGAAATCTGTAACAGAAGGAACATAGACCTACTTATTACTATTATTTTCTTTTTCCAAAACGAGTTAGTTAGAGACAGAGCTCCTATTGGAAATGATTCATAGTCTTAGGTTTTTCAGGGTGAATACCTCCTAATGTACACAACCTAAACAAAGTTATGCTTGCGGGAACACAATATGGTTAACTTCCAGCCATGAACTAGACAGAGAGAGGCAACATGCCACTGGGGACTAGGGACAAATGAAAGAACAGAGCACAGGGTCAAAACCACTGCATCCCTCATAAATGGGAGGAGCTCCATCTCCATATCCAGCTCCATGCATATACATGGAGCAGGCAGATGCAAACAAGCCCCTTGAATCCTGGATTTGTATTGCCATGAATTGAATGAGCAGCTGCAGTGCAGTGCAGGAGATGGAGCCACCTCCCTCTTAAACTCATACCGGGGCAGACGGGAAGAATAAAGAAATCATTGGGGGCATAAAATTTCGAACAGGACTAGGCCTTGCCAACTCTTGCTGCTAAAAAGGCTGGTAAGAAAAAGAATTCCTTGCGGAATTTGGCATGCGAGGTGTCATGATTGATTCCCACCTTTGCCTTGCCTGGGAGGCGTTGTTGGTGGATGCAAGCCGGGCATTCTCTGTAGCCGCTGCTGGGGACCCTTTTGCCTTGCCTGCACGAGAACAAGGAGAAAGGAACAAGAGGAGTACATGCTGAGAACTTTTCACTTTCATTGCAACTGACTCAAGAACAAAGGAAGAAACAAACATACAACTTTATTCAGGACGAGATCATAGGATCAAACAGAATGAACGGGGGTGCATTCATGGGATCTCAGTTCAATTTGCAAAGTCTCAACTGCTTATTAGCTCATACTACTACTACTATGAAATAAAAGAATTTACTTACAACTGTTGTATGCTATGAAAGAACAGTTGTTGACCAGACCACACAAACGTATTGTTGCAAATGTATAGGCTCCTCTATAGGTGTAGATTGAAAAACAGGAATCTCTGAAACCAGACTCCACATATATTTTTTTAACCTTGATCAACTCCTCTGTAAGCTAAGTTTGTGGACAAAAAAAAAAAAAAAAAAAAAAAAATCAAAGACGTTGTGCTCATATGTGTCAAGCAACAAATTTTCAAGAACTTTTCTGCTTGAACGCTCTTTATTACCTAAGAGCTTAAATTTGAGTGAGCAAAGATATGTTCTCATCGTATTTCAAGAGTTATTCGTAAGACTAGCTAGCACTCTGTTACCTAATAATGCAATGCAAGCAAATGAAGAACTAACATTCTGACTCGAATGCTACTACTGAGCATAGTTTTAAATCTCCCGCTATAGCCTTTTGAGGTAGGGTGCCGCTATTTGTGTTCATGTACAATTTAGCTGCTATATCCCGCTATAGCCCGATATAGCTCCGCTATTAGCTGTTTTAAGATATATCGCTGAACGGCTTAGCCCGCTATTTAAAACATTGCTACTGAGAGCTGCAGTGTGATGATCCAGAATTACAGATACGTTTTTTTTTCCTTGTTATAAGACCATGATCCAAAGAATAAGATGGTACATGGTAGCATCCGTGTCCAATTGGAACCCTGCTGGGCGTACCTGGTGAGCGGGGCGAGAAAGCTGGGGCGGAGTAGCAGAGAGAGAGCATGGAGGTGTCGACAGCAGAGCGCATCTCATTGTCTCTGGCCGGCAGCATTCTCCAGGCGGCGGCGGGTGGCAGCCCACCCCCACTTGCTCCTCCTCCTCCGGGCAGGCCGAGGCTGAGCTGAAGCGTCTCCTCCTCGTCGCCCTGGTCGCTCGGCCTCGGCCTCGGCTCGCCCATCCAGTTGTGCAGAATCTTGCTGGTCTCTGCTGCGTCCCCCATCTCTCCGATCCTCCTTCCCGCGATCTCTCTCTCTCTCTCTCTCTCTCTCTCTTCTCTCTTCTCTCTTCTCTCTCTCCAAGTTGGCAAGCACTGCACGAGCAAGACGGCGTGCGCGGCTGAAGATGGTGGGCAGGGCTAGCTACTCTTATAGTACCCAGCAGTGCAGGAAGAAGGAAAGGGACGAAGGCAGGCAGAGTTATTACAAGAAGGACAAACAAAACAAGAGCAAGAAAAAAGAGTTTGTTAAAGAAATCACTAGTGACCTCTGCTGCCTTGGTACGCCTCCAATTCCCACCTCGTGTTCTATGTTCGGACGGAATGAACAGAAGAGCTAGCCAGGCCAAAGAGAAGCCAACAAAATGATCGAGGAGGCGGCGGCTGCTGCCGTGCGCAACTGGACTGGGGAGCTCGCTCGCTCGCTCGTGAACCACGCAGTGACGCACTCGCCAACGCGCAGCAGCAGCAGTGGCGAAGTGTGAGCAGGCAGGCAGCTGTTGGTCGCTAGTGGAGACGGACAAGCTAGGAAGAAGACGATGGAAAGCAGGGCGCCGGCTCGGGGGGAGATTCCGGTCCGCGGGGCTAGGAACGGGAATGGAGCACGGCACACGCCAACTGCGGGTGTTGGGGTGGTCGACGATTCATCATTCATAGCTGCTGCTGCTGTCCAGCTACTATCATCATCAGCAGGCTGCAGGGCCGCTGCTGGTGCTGGTGGTCATCGCCGCACGGAGACCCTGTGTGTGTGTGTCTGTGTGCGCGCGCCACTCTCTCTCCCCCTCTGAAAAGCTGAGGTAGCAGCAGCCAGCAGCAGGCGCTTGCTTAGTACTAGTTAACCCTTCTCTGTTATCAGAGGAGAAGAAAGCAATGTCGGTTAACAGCTGAGATGATTGATCAGTCACTATAAACGGTGCTCGTACCAGTCGAAGAGAAGAGGAGGAGGAAGCAACAGGAGACGACAAGGGATAATTAGGCGTGCAGGCGGCCAAGATTTGCTCGATCCCAGCTCTTGGCCGGCCTCAGCTCCCGTGCCACTGTACCAGAGACAGTGAGACACACACGCATCCTTCACATCTTTTCGTGCTCTCCCCTGACCTCTCCCCTCTCTTCTCTCTGTCTACTGCCTCTCGCCCTCTCCTCTCCCACCTCCACAGTCCACAGCAATGCGCGCGTTGGGGTGCGAGCGCATTGCTGTCGCTGTTCCCCTGGGAGCTCAGGAGGAGCAGATGCAGAGCAGGAGGGCTCCTGCAGGACTGAAAAGGTTTTACAGTGGGCAGGCAAAGGTGACAACAAACAAAATATGCTTTGCTTTATTTCGCTCCTTCTTTCCTGCCGTGCCGGCGGTCATGGAAACGGTTGGATGCTTGGCTCAAGAAAGCTGCCATTTTTTCTCAGTTTCATATGCCCCAGGGTCAGCTTACAGCTAGCTGCCTACTGTACCTGTGTGTGCCGTTGGCCCGTTGCATGTGCCTCTGCAATGCAACGCGTCCTATACGGGTGTAAGTTCACGAGATCGATCAGAAACAGAGAAATGCAGCACTAGTTGGGATTATTCGTAATAATGCATTGAGCTTCCATTGTGCTTGAGTGTTGACTATAGTTGAGGAGAAAATCTAACTCAGGCTATGGGGTCTGCTATATGATTCGAGTGGACCAGAGGCGATCGAAGAAACATAGGGGTGCGTACGTACATGGCACTATGGCAGGGCATGCAACTGCAAGTAAGGCCCCGTTTAGATCCAAAAATATTTGGATTTTACCACCAGAAGACTTTCGTTTTTATTTGACACCACAAAGGTTCGTCTCGCGATTTCTCACCCAACTGTCTTAGTTTTTTTTTCTGAAGTATATGCCACCAGTCCACCACAAAAGTGTGCGTCTCTGAAGATGCTCTGGCAGCCCCGAATATGGACTGTGCTGTGTTTGCCACTGTAGGTGTAGGGGCAGCATGCAAAACAGCAGCAGCTACGACGCTACAGTCACATACGCGCACCCTCACTTTTTAGGGGCCCCTGCTTGGCATTTTTATTTTGGAAGTATGGTAAGGTTGGTTCTCGCTACTACACTGGCCTGGCCTCCTGGAAGTACAGACTGTTCGGCCGGAGGAAAACGATCGAATACGATCGTAAATTTCTAGCCGGAATAGTATTTTTATCTCATACAAACCAGCTAATAATATTTCTTCACGAACCAGCAATAATATAAACTAGCCAACCGAACAAACAGACTGCACCATTCGTGGTGGTCGGTCTGGTCTCTCTATCTGGCCTGCTGCTGGCTGACTGGTCATGGTCCCCCACATCTTTGGGCCGCCGCTGCCCACCACAGCCGCGCGCCTGATAAACTTTGACACGGAGACGGATGATGGGTCATGAATCCGGCCGCGCGCGAGATCCACATCTCGTCAGCGATGGATCGATATGATATCGATTCGGCGGATGATCAGAGTGGAGGTCATCGTCCCTATCATGCATGCGGCCGTTAGTTGTTGAAGCATCTGATAAATAAATGTATATACATACATGATAGTACATTTTTGCTCCATCGGTTACATAAAGCAGCTGTACACGTACGCCTGTACGTGGTACAGTATGTATCTATATACCGCACTCTGCGAGCCACTGTACATGCATTGCATGCTGCTGTATGGATTTGAACTCTCTTTTTTTTGTTCGGTTGCACATGGACATAGCTTCAGTTCATTGTCTGGTGGCTGTAGCTTCCGTTCATTGCATTCTAGTACTATGTATTGTAGTGTTCTCTTTTCCCCCTTTTTTTTTGGTGTTGGAATTTTGGGCTGATGGATGGAGTTGGTGTGCATGCATGGCTATAACTTTTGGATTGTGGTCCAATATTCGCAGGCAGCATGAACATGGCCAACTTTTGGCCGTCCATCGTCCCCTTCCCTTTCCCCTTCCCCTTCACATGATTGCAATTGCAAGTTCAATACTGTACTACTACAATGCCTCTGTACTTGCGCTCACTGTTGCAGTGCTGCATGCTGCCTGCGCCTCTGCTGCTGTCCCTCCCACGAACAAGCAGCCATTGAGTTTTTAATATTATTTATTTATTTATATTTATTAGCACTTTGCTTTCGGCGAATATAACAAAGCCAGGACGTGGAGGTGATGAGCAGCTTCTCACTTTGGAAAAAAAAAAAAGCATAGGATATCAGGAGAATGTATGTGCAGTGTGTACATATAAAGAGAGCGCGCAATGCAAGTACACATTCCAGCTAGGGAATCATGCGTCTGTAGTTAGTTCCTCGGTTTAATAACTAATAGTGATATATGTTGAGCGGCCTTTGTAGTTTGTAGCTCTCATCCGATCCTGCATGGAGTGAATCGATCGGAATATATGCAAGCACTGTCTGTTTGTTGCTATTATATTGCAAACGAATGAATCTGTGCGTTGGACGTGACGTGTGCGATGCACGACGCGAGGCGTGCAGCTGGAAGACGTACGTGCGTGGATGCGTCATGGGCGCGGTCGCTGTTACCTGCAGACGTATGCACATGCCAATGAAATGCCATCGATCGCTTAGACGTTCGTGACACAATTAACTGAGAAACAGCATGCCATCAGGGTAATAACGTCAAGGTTAATTAGGCGCCATCGATCTCAACAGCACACAGCAGCTTGCAGGAAAAAAAAACTCAAAGCGATCGAGCCGCCTGCCTGTTAAGTGCTAATATAAGGCCGCATTTGCTTGGGAGTTACGGACAGGCGACAGTAGGCATGCGGCCATGCATGCCATCGGCTGGCCCGTAACTGACTGACGGTGTATGTACAACTTTTGATGGGTTTTTTTCCAGTGATCGATGGTCCATGCATGCACAAGAAGACGCCTAGGGCCTTAAACCCATTGAAAAAATTTCAACGCGATGAATACGGTAATCCTTCATCATATTTGGTAAATATTGACGACGTGAAAAGCAGCAGTACGGCCTCAAAAGATTCATCTCGTGATTTTCAACTAAACTGTGCAATTAGTTATTTTTTTTTACCTACGCGTAACGACCTCTATCATACAAACGCAACAAAAATTGATGTACGTAGAGAAAGTGAAATAACTTACCGTTTTGAGGGTATCACGCCGGCGGGCGATGGATTAAACCCACCGGCCACCGCGTGCGTGCACGTACGGTAATCCTTCATCATGTTCATGTGGACGGACGACATGAAAAGCAGCAGTACGGCCTATATATGCGCTGCTCCTACTACTACTCCTAGTCCTAGCTACCCGTGCGCGTACGACGACCTCTATCCTTGCAATGCAACAAGCTAGTACTACGTACTACCCTTGACCGTACCACATGCACGCCGGCGGGCGATGGATGTGATTACCCTTGACCGCACCTTTAATTATTAGTTGATTGCCGGCCGATTACTTAGCCCAAATGGACATAGGCATGCCCATGCGGTGAGCCGGTGAGGACTGAGGACGTGGAATACCCGGACATTTTTTTCTTCTTCGAAAACACAGGCAAACGCATGTGCTGATATATTCGTGTGCACTGTACACTTAAAGGTACCTCAGCTCCTATATACGCGTCTGGTCTCCACGTCCACGACTCCACGCCCTGTTAGCCTGACCGTGCACGGTGCTCGCTGGGTATGCACCGGTAAGCAAATATTACCCAAGTGTCATGTGATACTAGATGCCCTGTCATGTGATGTGATGTGATGTGATGTGACCAAGTGTCCTCCCTCTGGCTGGTGCTCTGAAATCTATCGATGGGGGAAGGGAGATAGATGATGGAGAGGAATAGAGGATGACACGTGGGTCTGGTAACAAAAATGCATATGTTTATAGTTTGTGACATCGCAAAAAGGGCACGTTGCCTAGCCTAATTGTTTATTTGAGAATGAGAACTTAGTAAGTGCCATTTGAGGTCCCCCTATGAACCCTCTGCAAAAGGCTGACATGCTTCGGCGTGGGTTCTGGAAGCCAGGACGGGGCCTCACTGAGATGAGAACGACGAAGTGAATGAGTGGACGGAAGAATTTAGCGAAAGAAAATGGTCCACAGCTGGTGGATTCAGTTACTACTCGTTTGTACAGATCTAGGTCCGACCCTATGCGAACCGATTATTTTGTTTGAGTTCAAACACCCAAAATTCAAGGTGCGACTCGGTACCATTTTAGGTCCTCAGTTCGATTTCTGTGGGAGCGAATATTCCAGTTAAAGAAAACCTGGGTGGATTCATGTCGAGTTGATCCCGCAACCGGTTTTGTTAGTTCAAACACCCAAAATTCGAGGTGCGACCACGCTTGAAGCCAAATTTCATCATATAACATTTCAACATAAGGATAAGCCAGTTAGTTAGACTCCAACAACAATTGGAGGAGGTTAAAAAAAAAGAAAACCTTTATCCGCAAAGATTATATTGCTGGCATGGATGTCAGTAGCCTAGCCTCGTTCCAACCTTCCAAGGAATACCAGCAACACCTTTGCCGTGCATGGTGCAGCCCAGCCGTGCAGGGACTTCTTGTGCCCACCATTTGCTGGGCCGTATCAGGTTGGGCTGGCCTCACATAAAAAGCCCAGGTAACTGATTCAGATTATTAACCAAGTTGCCGGAGGTTCCTGATTCGGCTCTTGGGTAGCCGAGCGCCACATTATTGTGTAAAAGTAAAGTGATTTATAGGAAACACTTATGTGATTTGTGTGAAGTTCCTGCATTCCGAGGATCCCTACTATAAAGTGAGATTCATCTTATATACTTTTTTTTTCGAATTTCATGGTACAACTCGGACACTCACAACGCACACACACACTTCTAAAAACGCACGTACATAAACCCTACACCTATGAGCATCTTCGAAGACTAGGCCAGCAAATCCTCGATTGATTAATATATTTGTTCAATAGACCTATGCCTGTTGAAATATAGTGCAACTAGATAAAAAAGACAGTAAAATGGATCCTTGGATGCACTACAGTTGAGCAACTTTAAAAGCCTCTTTATATGTTTTGTATTTGATAGGATAGGATTAGAGATTATTGGTGAAAAAAAATCCTCCAGCGGCTTGTTTAATTAAATTAAATCTCAAAATAAAACTATATGTTCCTAGTTTCTTGCTAGCCAAAGATGGGGTTAGCTCTCTAAATTATGCGTAAGATATAAAAAAATGTTGGAATGTGATAAGATATATAGAGAAAAAAAATATAAATATCCCTCCTAATAAGTATAAGGATTTAGAGACTGAGATATGAGTTTCAAAAATGCCGTTAAGAAATGCTATGGGGACGCCAAAAATTCTGTTGCACCCGTCTCGTCTTGAACTTATCGGCCTAGCTTATCCGTCATTGGTACAGTGTTTTCTCTCTCACAAAAAATCAGCGAACAGTAATTTTCAGCCTAGCTTTTCAACAAAGCGAACAGGGCCAGAGGCTGCACTTTTGCCGTATTGGGCCAGGCCCATATTACCACAATGATAAGAAGTAAGCCCTGCTTGCGTTATATGCATTAACATGGCTCTCCGATCTCATAGCATGCACCCCCTAGGTCGCTGAACAAAATCTTGTCAGTGTAGCTGCGTTTTGTTTGAACTTTTTTCAAAAGACATGGCAGGTATTTTCAGCTGTCCGCGTGAACGAGCGAGACGAGAGCTTAACATACACTTCACAGCATGTCCCGGCAAATCCAGAAACAGAGTCTGCTGAAACGCATCATGCGCGTTAAAAATTCTGAGCCCAGCACGGTATCAGTAATCACCCCCGACATGGCCACAGATAGGCAATGTCAAATTAGAGAGCAAACAAGTCAGGTCAATACCAGGGATATGCCTTTTGAAATCAAATGTACCAGTAGACGATGTAAACAGCTCAACAATTCTCTTTCTAGTTGATCAGAGCATTGTGAAAATTCTCTTTCTAGTTGATCAAAGCAATGCGAAAATTCTCTTTCTAGTTGATCAAAGCATTGCAATATGGGGTACAAAAATTCTGACGGTGAGAAGGTGGTACTCAAAACTCCGACAGCGAAAGTATAATGAAATCCTTGCTCATTTCTTCTTCGCTTCCCCAGCCTTTGTCTGCAAAACCAATCCAACAAAAAAAAAACAAAAGTTACACACCAACAGAAGTTAAGATCAAGGTCTTGTTTGCGCTGTCATGATTTTATCAGAAACTGTTTGATTCTTCCACAGGAACACAATGAACCAAATGCCCACTAATATTAGGGCACAGCAGTCTGACGAGTGCAAATGTGCATACCTTCTTCACGCCACGGATCTTCTTCGCCCTGTTCTTCCTCTCCTTCATCTGCTTGCGTGACTTCTCCACCTTGGTAGCAAGACCATTCTGCAGAAACCCAAACACGCACTCTTGTCAAAAAAAAAAAAAGCAGAGCATAGCAGACACCAGACAGACAGTGTTGTTTCAATCACAGAATAAGCAGAGCATATAAATGGACCTGCAAATCATTAACTGTTATTTATGCTAGGTTTCATACACCAAACGGTCATGGACAATTCATAAAAATAGCAGATACAAATGACATGTTTTCTTGCTGTAGTGCCCTATGATTCACAGTTAAAATTAGCCCACAACATAATTGTGAGTTGGCAATGGATGTAAACATGCAGTAATATATATTCCATCAACCAAGAAAAAAGCACACCAAAAGACTTGTCTTAATCCGATTTAGCTCCTCTTATTGGCTGAACAATTTCATGGTTTGCAAAATACAAAACAGTGAACTTTGAACAAACATAGTGCAATGGGGGGGCCAACAAACCATAAAGCAACAACGCCTTCACTAAGACATGATAAAGGGCCCATTCAGTCATGCCTGGTACAAGACTTAAAATAGTAACAGATAAATCGTTTTTCATCTAAAAACAATAACGAGATCAATGTTGACAATAAATGCGACCTAATCTGAAGGGGCAGCCAGCTATTGCCACAATAAACTATACGCGAGCTAATTGCGTCGCCTACACGAACTAATGCATGTAACAATTTGAGCTTTCAGCGTATACCAGGTAGTATATTCAACATGGAGACTATACCAGGTAGTATATTCAACATGGAGACCTAATAATCCAGCGCCAATGACAGCGAGAGAGAAAAAAGAGGAGAAAGAGACGCGTACCCTGATAAGCCTGTACTTGGGCTCGAACTTCTTGGCCGAGTCGAGGTTGTCGTAGATGAGGCCGAATCCGGTGGACTTGCCGCCTCCGAAATGTGTGCGGAACTTGAAGACGAAGATGCAGTTGGGGTCCTTGACCTCGTACATCTTAGCCAGCTTCTCCTTGAGCTCCGCCTGCAATATCAATCAATCGATCACACGCGTCAGCATCGCCAAACGAACGAGAGGATCTCGCAGCAAAGCTCCGACGCCCAAGCACTGACCTTAGACACGTTGGCGCGGCCGGGGTGGAGAACCTCGAGCACGAACTGCTTGCGGGCGAGGAGGCGGTTGGTCATGAACTTGCGCGTGCGGAGCGTCACAGCGGGCAACACCTTCGTGTCCGTCATGCTTGGTGCTGCCTGCCTGCCTGCGGCGCGCGGGAGGATCGGCTTCGCCGGAGCTGGCTCGCGGGGGCGCTTGGCGGCGGCGGCGGCGGGGAAGCGGGCACTCAGGGATTGGGATGTGTTTATATATATCTTCTGCTGATGAAACCCTAGATCAGGTCACCGCGGCTGACAAGGGGAACGGAGTGGCGGGTTCTGGTGGTCCTTGATTGGATGTTACAGAATGATGGGCTTGAAAGTATTAATGGGCCTATTTTGGATGTCACGGCAGTCCATTAGCTGCTCTAAATTTCTCGCTAGTGAGGTCGATCTTGGAACTCAATTATAATTGATTCCACTAAAAAAATCAATTATTATGCGGTAATGCTCGGCGTCCGTCCGGACGCACCTTGCCCACGTCGCCCGTACGCTCTGCGCGCTGAGCGCCTCCCGCCACGGCCATGCTCCATCCGTCTGACGTCGCGGCCCTTGCCGAGGTCCGTGCCGCCGTCGAGCAGCCTGTTCGGTTGGCTGGTTCGTATCGTTGCTGGTTCGTTTATGTGAGAGAGAAGTACTGCTGGCTGGTTCGCGTAAATAGTAGCCATGTGAGGGGGCTGGCCAGCCAGCCCCAGCCCAGCGATCAGGCTGGAGGTCCACACCGGCGAGCTCCGCGCCACTCCGTACACCGAGCTCCACACCGGCGTTGAGCTCCGCGTCGATGATCCTTCATTTTCGTCCAAGCAGCGAGTAGATGTTGCAAGCGTTTGTTTACGATGTTTCAGAGGTATGTTGCAAGTGTTTCATATGGATGTTACAAATAGATCGAGATGTTGCATATGTTGCACTGAATGTACACATATGTTGCAAGCTTTTGTTCCCAATGTTTCATCTGTTTTTTCAGACGTACGTTGCAAGTGTGTTTATCTGGATGCTGCGTATGTTTCATACATATGTTTGCAAGTGTTTTTATCTGGATGTTGCATATGTTTTTGTAATGGTTTTAAGTGTTTTCAGGTGTTTTTGCAAGTGTTTCGGATACATGTTTTAAGTGTTTCATGTGCCTTCATATGTATGTTGCAAGTGTTTCATCTGAATATTTCAAAAGTACATCATGTGTTGTATCTCCCTCCTCGTCTTCTGCTGCCTCGCCTCCCTTTCTTCTCGATGCTGGTGACGTTCGGGGTAGCACGAGCCCCACGTAGGCACGTGAAACGGCGCAAGAAAAGGTCTGCAGGCGTGGCGTCTAGACGTCCGGACGCTAGCAAGCGCATATTAGTACAGTTGTATGTCACCTCATAACAAACAAATAACGGTGGACACATGGTTTCATGTCAACTTTGATGCTTGGTGCATAAATTATACAAGCATCTCTTAAATTTAAGATAATATGCTACTTCATCCTTTCCAAATTACAAGTTATTCCAATTTTCTTACAAAGTCAAAGCATCTCAAGTTTAATCAAGTTTATATAATAAAATAATTATATTTATGATACCAAATAAGTATCAATAGATTCTTCATTAATTATATTATCATAATATACCTATTTGATGTCATAAATCTTTATAATTCTTTTTATAATTTTGATAAAACTTGAGATACTTTGACTCTCCGTGAAAGTTGGAATGACTTATAATTTGGAATGGATGGAGTATTCATTCTCAAATCCTCCACACTCTACTAGCCTGGCTAGGTGTTTCGGTATCAAAAGAAAACCTTTTTTATATCAGAAAAGACAATGTCCAGTCAGAGTGATTCCTGCTATTATCAGCTCAGCTCATACATAGCCCTACTTTTACACACTAGAAACAAGCGCGGCATTGCCGCGCGCCTGGCTATGTTAGGCCAGTCCGCGTTGCGCGATTATATCAGAGTATCAGTGCAGAGTAGCTGCTTCCAATAGATAGAAAGGATTACATACACATTGATGTATCTATTTAATGGTGCAAGACTAATATTTTTTAACACATATCTCCATTTTTATAAGCGGGAAGTTGGGGAACACAATTTAGTTATCATCGTCGTTGCAATATTTGTGGGAGAACATTGATGAAATTTTATAGACAACGAAATACAAGTTTCTGATGGAACATCAGCTTGTCATTGGTAGATCGATCACAATGATATATTATAGAAATCATGGAGCTGAATGTGAGCTGCGTGACCATGCTGCCCCCTCTGCTGGATCATTGGCCACTGCCTTTGATGACTCCACCACTGCCCCTGAATGGAGTTGTGGCATGGAGTACAGAACCGATAAATAGACCAATCATCACTACCTGCTAGAAGCAATTAGGCCATGGAAATTTCATCAAACAGAAGCAGAAATGTCAGATGCCTAAATTAGGATATGGGGGATGAAATCCATGTGGCAAAAACTAAAATAGAATCAGTAAACTAAAATCCATGGAACATTTGAATCTTTAACACAATCCAGGCCACGGCAATGAATTTGTCAGCAACAGAGCTATTGGATATATTGCAAAGTTTTATGTTGTGAGTTCTATCATCGAAATTATCTGATATATGCATAGGTGTTGATAAAATGTGCAAGTTTGAGCATTGAAAAACCAGACTATCAATCATTTCAGATACTGAGTTCCAGACGATAACAAAAATGTTTTTTTATTTTTTTGAAGGTAGGTATAGCTGGCTGCTTTCTATTTTTCCCTTTATTATTAGGATCTCAAATATAGGGTTTTTTTCGAACTAAAGCTGCTTTCTTAGCTTTATCATAGTGTAATAAAAAACACATCAGATATGCTATGTAATTGTTGGTTTCAGACATCCTCGTCTTCTAGTTATCTTCACCCGTGGCCGTGGAAGCAATGTAATATAAGGCCAAACTTGTAAGATGGTGATTGCAAGTAAAGGGAGATGAAGCATCTTCTGAGGTTGCCCCAAACAAAGCTAGTCCTAATCCTATAATATATAACTACCTATCATTAAAATATATTACTACCCCCAGCTTAACTAAAAGCTATATTATTTTTCAAAGCTGTTTTTGCCTAAGTCCTAAAATCATGCTGCTGTATGCAATTGACAACGGCAGATAACCTCTCATCAATACTCTGAACCACCACTTGATCAGGCAAGCAGTTCCTCGGATGTTGAAGCTCTGCAAGAGTCTGAAAGCACACGGAGGACACAGGTCATCACTATTTAAAAGCATGCCATTAAATACAATCTCAAGTGATCAACACGAATGATTTTAGAAGTGCATTATACAGTATATGTACCTCCTAGTTCACATGGTGCTGCCCAGGCACATCGTTTTTTTCATTCTGCAAAATTCAACCAGCAAAGTTTTCTAGTCAAGAAAAAGGCACGAGAGGTGTTTCAACGTAGAAATGGACTGAAACTTTAGTACGTTTTATTAGACAAAGAAGCGCTTCATATGCAAAGTATAACTGTCTGCTAAAGAGAGCTAAACCTTGTAGTCATTTGATCGAGCATATGGTGGGTGTCGTCCATGGCACTGTCCCTAGCAGCTGCTGGGGCATTAGGTGGCGTGCTCTACGGCGTGGGAGGGAGCACAGAGGCATGGCCTTCTTCCTCATGGGAGCCATGCTCATCTTCTTCTCCACAGCAGCGACATTGTGGCGTGTAAGGTGTATATTTGGAGGAGGCGATGCCGAAAGTCAGTGCTACTTTGAAGTAGTGTGGGCATCCACGGTTGCATCAGTTGCCTCCTCCACGTGCAGTACACGGCCACGACAAGCTAGGCATCATTGAGCGAGGAAGACGCTGAGATGTGCAGGCTCTGGAGCGCCGGCCGGAAATGTGTGTGGAGCAGGCGCCCAAGCACCGCGGCGTGCTGTGCTACCTGCTGACTAGAGCACGGCGAGAATCTTGCATGCCTCCGAGGAGCCCCGCTGCTGCCTGGACGCCTCCTCGCGTGGCCGTCCTGGTGCTGCCCACAGCATCCTCGTGCGGGACAGGCGCCTATGGCTCGGCCGTCCAGGTTGCAGGGTCGAGGCCGCTCCGCGAATCGACAATCGCCCGCATCGCTCCTCCGTGTTGCCATACTGCCATAGGACGCTACGCCGGCGAGGTCTACCTCTCGGCCGGACGGATTTGGCTCGCCGGGCTGCGGGGGAGGGACCGGAGTAGGGAGGGGGCGGCAGCGCAGAGAAGACTGGGGACCTCCGTGTTGCCATAGGACGCTACGCCGTCGAGGTCTACCTCTCGGCCGGACGGATCTGGCTCGCCGGGCTGCGGGGGAGGGACCGGAGTAGGGAGGGGGCGGCAGCGCAGAGAAGACTGGGGAGGAGGAGCGGCGGTCAGCTCAATCTGAGGTGTTTTTTTAAAAATATACTGAGATGGCCTCTGGAGCGTGGGTTGATTTTTGAAAAACAGAAGTGTTTTTTTGAAAAATCTCGGGCCGTCCGCGCGCCCGATCGAATGGCCTCGAAAAGCAGGCGACGTGGCCACGCTGGCTGGCCCTCTTTTGGGTGTAGGATTCATATGGTAAGATGGTATTTTTTTTCTTTTGTCACAGCAAGATTTAGTCATTTTCAGTACTTGCTGTGCTGTGTGGTTTAGTAATGAGGCATTTCCGTCAGGGGCGGATACAACGGGGGAGGGCCGGTCGAGCCCCCTATCCGTACCGGAGCGGTGGTACTCCTGAGCTCATATGAATTTTTAGGCAAAGTTCTATAGTATAGGTGGGGCTGAGACTTAAAATCAAACAGCAGTCGGAGGTATGTGTTATTCAGCCTCCTAAATTTTTTTCTGAATCCGCCGCTGATTTCCGTAGTCGATAAATAAACAGACATACGTACATACGAGCAGCATTATTACCTCGCGCGAAAGCAACAGGTTGGTGGCGTGCCAATAATGCATGCAAGTCGATGGGTACGTACGTACTTGTCACGCATCATTTTTAGTTGGCCATTACGCATTTACGTTCGTCGGCATCACCGTTATCGCGCGCGCGCATTTGATTATTATTCCATCCGTCCGTCCAGAAGCAACAAGTCGATCGCGCATCATGGTCAACAACTAACGCACGCACGCTGCGG